AGTAAAAGTAGCCCATGTGAGAACTCTCTCATATTTCAGAAGAACATGAGAATGAGTTGGCTGATTGCCTAAAATGTATGGCACGATGCAAAGATTTTTGAAAATTTAAAGTGTCAATCTTGCTTTTAAATAAATCGTTTTATTAGCTGCTTAAACATGTCTTTTTGGTTTATTTTTTGATCTTGATGTCTTATTTGTTAATCACCATTATATAATTATTTTTAAACAACCCCTTTACAATAAAAACTGGTGATCAGTAATTACCCCAGAAGTGATCAGGAATTACCCCAGAAATGATCAAGACCAGGGGTAATTCTTGATCACTAAAAAATTTATATCTTTTAAATTCTAATTAGATTTTCAAACAAAAGAAGGTGGCATAGGACTCATCTCATATAACCTCAAACTTCCAGTAAATATTAAAATTCTATTTTGAATAGTTTTTTCACAAAATAGATGTTTGCCTTTTTTGATCAGGAATTACCCCAGGTCACCCTACAGTTTGCGGGATAGTAGAAAAAATTACCTTTGTCTTTATCTTAACTGACATAATATTTTTTTAAATTTTCATTTATAAAAATAGTTCATTAATTGTTTTATGCATTGACTAGATTTATAAGTATAAAATCGTTAAATCAGTAATATATTGTTGGAAAAAATTAACATGTTTGAAACAGAATAATTTTTTATTAAAGCAATTGAATTATGTCCTTGTATATACTTTATTCTACAAAGATTATGGCTTTATATCTTACTTTTTTGAATTTCACAAATAAATGTATTTTTAAAAATGTCTATAAATTTATATTCAATATTTGGCTATGTTTGCTGAATTAAACATCTCACTATTCATTTTTCTAATAATAAATAAAAGTGTTAAATGTTCATTGGTTTTTATGCATAAAAATGATCCCGCTTTACATCAAATCTTATTTCCCTAACTTTTAGTAAACTTGATTTATAAATTAGATGTATGCTTGTTCGTTGATACAATATTAGATAAATCGTACTTAGCTGACACATGTTTTTACAAAGTTTTTTTCTAGTGGTAGTGGAATAAAAATTGGAACAATAACTGTAAGCATCAATTTAAGTTTCATCAGCTCTTAAAACCAAGTCAATAATTATCAGTTTTTTATTTTGTTTAAATTAATTAGATTTTTGTGATGATCAAGAACATTTTAAATCAAATTTATTAAATAAAAAAGACGAATAAAAATAATTTCTTATTTATGATTCGGTCCAATTAGGAATTTCATTTTGCAAAATCAGAATTTACCTTCTCCCAAAATTCGAAGTTCACAGCGCTCCTGTTCATTTATAAAAGAAATATTAAATCTTTACAAAATTTAAATAGATTATACCAATGAGCTACAGAATCTTACTTTAAACAGAAAAATGAATTTTCTTACTCTAATATTCTATTGCTTTTTATTCAACAACCTGTAACTAATTGGAAAATAAATTTATCAAGTGTGGGGTCTGTCAAGGTTTTTCTGAAAGGTACCTATTTTGTGAAAATTTAGACGTAATTTGTGAAAATTAAAAATTATATTAAAAAATCAACACAAAAATATGGATTTTTCTTTTCTTATAGGATACAAAAATAAAATTTTAAGAAAAAGTATTTTGTGACACTACCGTTTTTCCTAAATTTGAATTTTTTCCTAAAGTTGAATTTGTGAAAGTACCGCTAAACAGTAGTAAATTCGACCTGGACAGACCCCTGCAAGTTAAAAGTTAATATTTCCTAATCTTCAACTTTTTATCTTTAAAATGACTCCTTGTTCGCTAAATAAATATTTCTTTTGAATTTTCCTTATTTGGTGGAATTGCTCATAACAAATCAAAAGTTGTGTTTTAGCTTTTCAGTACGGGACCTTACCGTGGAGATGCCCATAACAAATCAAAAGTTGTGTGTTAGCTTTTCAGTACAGGATTTTTTGTTGGATAATAACTTTATTTTTTATTTGTTTTTAATAAATATTATTCAAAGACATCAGTGGTAAGAAGTGAGAGTGCAAATTTTAGTTTATAATTACATGTATATTTGTTTTCATGAAATATATTTTGTGTAACACATTTTAAAACTTATTGCTAAACATTTGTTAATTTGCTAAAAATAATTGTGCTCTTATTGGCTATACAGTAGATGTTTAAAGAGGTTTATAAAACTGTTTTGAGGTTTATAAAACATGTCTGGAAAGTGCATCTAAAAATTTATACAGTAGTAGTTGTAAAAGGAGAAAATGGTAAAATCATTGTAGGTGAATGTGGCATTAACACAATGATTGTGTAAAAAATCGGTGTAAAAAAACAAGCAAACACTGATTTGAGTTTTAAGTTTTGTTTTAAACAAAAAAGTGCTGTGTCAAATGCAAAACTCAAATTCTGAAGATGTAGATCGAGCATTTAGTATGGCTTTTTGTAAAAATTGAAGATCAGAGGGAGAATCTGTTGGTATCAAATGAAATACAACCAAAGGCATTGCAGAATATCTCGATTTTTGTAAGAAGTAATTTTGTTTTCTTGAATTATTTACTCTAAAGATGTGATATATTTTGCGTAAGTAAGTAATTTAATTATGAATGTTAGTTCAAATTATGTTGAATATGAAGCATGCATGGCTTATAAATTGAAATCGATTTTTCCCACGAAATTTTTTTAGGGTTTTTCACTTTGTGACACAATCACCCCGACTGTAAATACAAGTCTACAATCTACAATACTAATAAAAGCTGGTTTTACTAACACACTAAGATGCTATTTGTAATGTGTTAAAATATGTAGTGCACTATTACAATCACTAGTCCTAAGCTTGGGAAAAGTTAAAAAGTGTATTGCCACAACTGTTTTTTTTTGTTTTTGTTTTTTTTAATGTCTGGTTTTTCAGTAAACTATTAGTCTGAATCGGCCAATCCAGCTAAGAACACTCTATAGTAATTATTTACAGTAGGGAGGTGAAATTTTTATCAAATGTGGATTGTCATTTTTTACACAATGTCTATGTACCTAATGTTTGAACAAATTTTTCGATGCTTTTATTTTTATGCTTAACTTTTTTTTTTATATATAGCTGTTAGAGAAATGGCCATTCATGTGAAGATCAGATGCAGCATTTAACTCTTGATGATTGACCACATGGCTGTCCAAACTATTATTCCAGAGCTATCTTGGATCTGTGCATTGTTATTTCTTGTTGTAGTATTCTTGTTGGTTCTTACATGTGTTTGCTTCAAAGATCATGAAAAGTTAGTCTTTGCATTCACTTTTAATTTAGGCATATCATTTTTAATTAATATTTTTCTTTACTTTTACTTTGAAGTTTTGTATATCATTGAAAAGTTGTGTTATATGTTTGTCTTTTTCTGTATTGCTAAATTTTTTTAAAGAAAAATAATGCTTTTATGCAAGAATAGATTTAAAAAGCAGCATTACAAGGAAAATTAAAAATTTGTTTATTAACAATACACAAAAATTATAAAATTGAACTAAGAGGCATAGTTGCCAATCCTTTTGCTACATAATCACCATACTTGTTTGGACATTTGTTGGAAGGAAGGAATAACTTGTTCAACCCATATTATTAGAAATCATATTCCTTCTCCAGTTTTCTGCCGCAGCATTTTTTACAGTACTGCTTGAAGAGCTAGTTCTGGATTTTGATTTTCTGATATATCCTTGATCCTTAGTGCGAGGGTGTCGGATAATCAGGTGTTCTACTCTACTGCATTGGGATTTTTGAAAGTTTTTTTTTTTTAATTGTATATTTAAGTTGGATGGATAAATAAATAACAAAAGTTTATGAAAAAATCTTCATAAAAAATTATTTTAAAAATATAAAAATTATGTAATAGTGCGAAAAATTTTATTTACATTTTAAAAATATGTAAATAAAAGTAATTTCTTCAAAGCATGTAAAATTTTATTTCTAAACACCTCTATATTCAAGATAAGTTCGTATTTATGAATTAATAAAAGTGCTGAAGTGGATAAAAAAGATTAATAATTATGGAGTGTATGCAAAAGTTGAAGCCGACTGTAATTTTACTAAGTTTAACTAGTCTATTATTGTTAGGTAATTGTTGTTATTATTAAGTTGTTGCTATTAACAGTTGTAGGAATTGGGGGTGATGATTTTTTCAAATTTTACTGATTTAACAAGGTTTATTCTTAATACTTCACTTTTACTTTGCTTTTATGTCGAAGAATATGGCATAGTTCATAAATGAATGATAAAATTTGTCACCAGCTACAAAAATCAGCAAAATCTGATAAAATCAGTCTAGAAAATCAAAATGTTGGGAAATTTTTTTTTTCCCTTAATGTTTGAGGCCACTGATTTAATGAGATTTGGTTTAGATTATTGTATACCCTGCTGCAAAAAACTTGCATGTTTATTTTGTCTTGAAGGTGTGATTTTACTTTTTTCTTCATATAACAGCATTACATCATCTTATCATCAGTATTCTGTGCCAATACATTTAGGCAGAATGTATTTCAAAAGGTCATCTTTTCTTCATTACATTTTAAAATAGTGACAGAGATTAAATATTCTTTCAAGTTCATTTAAACATTCATTTATATTTCATTTAGATATTCTTCAAGACTTTTAACTTTCTTCCGTTTGCAACTAAATACTTATTTTTGTTTTCTGCGAAGGGCCCCAAAGGGGTGCAATAGATAAATCATAAAATTTTTAATTCAAATAATTTTCAACTCTTATCGAAGTGCATGTAGTTCATTGTCTGACATTAACACTTGATAATTTATTAAATAATTATTATAATAATCTGATATTCAATTACATTATTTCTTTATTTTATGAAACTGTTTAATATTATCACTTGATTTGTCTTGCTAAGTTTTTTTATTCTATTTCGGACTTTTAAAGATATATATATTAGGATTTTTTTTAATAGATAAAATTATAATTTTTTTTCAATAAGCTATAAACTATATGCATTTTTTTATTTGTATCTTTTGTTTTTACTTTTTTTCATATAGCTAAGCTAATTATGAGATGTAAAGAAATCTGCTTCTAAATTTTAAAATTCTCCTATTTCATCTTGTATTTTATAGAGCAGAATATGGTACTGTTGGTCGATTATCTATTACAAGAGATTCTCCTGTTCTGCAACGTCAAGTAAGTAAAAATTGCTATAAATTTTATTGGTTAAGAAATATTGATTTCATTTTGCTGCTTTCTGTATGTATTTTTGCTGAGTTGTAATCAGTCAAAAACAATCTATTTCAATTCTATTTTATGTGCTATTATTTTGTAAGTGGAGTGAGTTAATTTAGAAAGTAGTATAAATCTGAAGTTTTTAAGGGCTAGTGATTAACGAAATTTAAAAAAAAATATTGGTAACGAGGATTTAGATGGTGTTCTTAATACTATATTTGATGAAACATCAAAATGCAACAATGATTATTTTGTTTTATAACCAGCATGGAATAGCTGTCCCAATTCGGAGTTTACGACTTTCAATGTTCAACTCCATTGCCTTGTAATTTTTGAGCCCAACCTAGACGACAAAGTAAACTCTTAGATCAAGCATTGGGAGAAACTAATATTCATGGAGAACTTTTTGATGGAAAAAACCCTTATTTGTGTTGCATGAAGAGAAAAACTTCAATAAACCTCCTACAGTAAGCCTGACAGCAAGCAGATTCTAACTCCTGATACATCTACCATCAAGGATATTTTGCTTCAGCACTGTAGTCGGTGCAAACCGGGAGGAGCGGAAATTGTACCATCCAGCCGCTGCTGAGATTCAAACCTGGGCCACCTCTTTGGAAAGCAAATGCTCTACCCTCTGAGCCACCACTTCTCAATAATGATTGTTGAAATTGCCAAAATAAATCAATATAAGAATTTTTAGCACTAAATGGACCCATTCCACTTTTGAACTGTTTTATGAGCTAGTATAGTTAATCACATTTATGATGGGTTTAAAACACTTGATTTTAAATTCATGCTTTACATAAAGTTTATGAGCATGTTTACATATAGTTTATGAGTATCTGTTCAGGAACTTTTGGTCTAATATTGCTTTTTCTTATATTTGAATTTACTTTAAATTTTCATGTATTTTCATTTAACATTTGTTTTTTTAGTCTAGAAATGGTGCTATATCAACTGGGTCAAGGCAAAGTGATTTGAATTCAGATGATGGAGGAACTAAAAGGTATTCATTATACATTTGTTGAAATGATTTGAAAACTGTCTCTATATCTTGCTGTATGATGTAATTTTTTTTATGTAGTAAAATTTTTTTCAAATTTTGAGACATTTTTTTACGTTTGAAATATGAGCAGGTAGCATTAAAAGAACCATTTTCTTTAAATCTTAATGTTTTTAGTTATAGTTTTCTTAGCAATAAAGGTTTTTTAGTTTTATATATTTTGTTTTGAACCCTTTTTTTAAAAATATATTTATACTAATATGTACAGTCGAATTCCAATATAGTAAACTGTCTGCCGTTGCAGCATTAGGCCCATTATGAACAGTGGTTTGCTATATTTTAATTCTATGAAAAATTGTATTTTAGTATACATAGCTGCCAACTCTACTGGATTTTTGCCAGTTTCTCCTGGTTTAACTGAAATTTTCCTGGTTTTTTTACATTTTAGAAAATTCTCTAAAATTGAGTAAATTTCCAAAAAAGTCCCTATTGAAATAGAATTTTTGTACAGATAATTATTTGCTTTTATATTTAAATAAGTATTACTGTTACATAATGAAATGAACCTCATTTATAGAAATCAGTTCAAAATTTGTTTTGTTCTAAAATGTTCAGTATATTTCTATTCTGAACTCTCTTTTTAAATTAATTAAAAAAGTCTTTTAACTACCTTTGATGAATTAAATGCCTATTAATATTCAAAATTATGAGTAAACATAATACATTGCAGTTTTTCCATTTTGATGACTATAAAAATCAATGAAGTTCTCTATGTAAAATATTTAGTACATTATGCAGCAATTATCATGAAATTTATATTATTTCGCAAAATATACTGTATTTTTTCCTAACCATGTCTGTAACTATGAGTATATGTCAAAAATAATTTTGGAAATAGCGATTAAGGTAGTACATTTACAGGGTATCTGCATACCTGGAGAATCATAGATTTTGAACTTTGTCAAAATTTGTCATGGAAGGTCATGATTTTCAATGATACATACTAAAAATTCATGGAAACTCCTAGTTCATTATGAATTTTTGGATATTGGAGCCCTTAATATTCTATGTATTCTATATTCTATGTATCAGTAAGCTGTTTGCAACGAAACATAAATAAAAATTTACGAAGGTTTCTTTATTAAGATTAAAAGATAAAGACAGTGTATGTACACGTTGTTAAATAAATAAATTTAATTATAACTGGTTTTACTTGTAGAGTTTAAGTGGTGTTAATAACTTACTCTTTTCATGCACAGTGTTTAATTACAATCACTCTATTATTGAAAAATAAACTTATTCACTTATTTTATTAATTTTTTTAATTCTTAAGTAGAAATCTTATGAATAATTAAGAAACATTAGCTATTAAATTTCAAGCATATGTTAATTGTATGTTTTTTTCCCTTCATTATTTGCGAAATTTCAGATTTAATAATTTTAAACAATTGAAATGATTTAGTTTATAACCACAGTATTGGAAATGTTGCTTCAAAATTCTCTGATCTAAGTTATCATCTTCAAAATTTCAAATTTTTTGTTCATCACATTAATGATTCAAAAAGTTGTTCAGAATGTATTTAAATATTTTTAAGAGATGACTCATAATATAAAGAAATTTTTTTATTTTATTAATGGTGTCAACTATTGAGTTCCAGTTGCCTGAAATTTTCATTTTATATTGAATTTAATTTTGTGATTTATTTTCAGAAATTGATTTGTGGGCATTTCTTTTCAGGAACTCATGGACTGTGAAAGATAGAGCCTTACCCGAGATTCCTGGTACAACTATTGTTCCAATATCAGTCCATTCAGCCGCAGATGATGGTAGCATGCCTGTTTCTGCCGAACGCACAAAAGCAAAGAGTCACAAAACTTCTGCACCAAAACCTCCTGGATCAGATCCCTCTAAAGTTGTAAGTTTCATTTGGCACAAAAAGCAATTTTTATTAATATTTCTTTTTTAGTTATTACTTTTTTTAAGTGTAACATAAATATATATAGTGTCAAGTTTGATGTTTTTGACCATTGGTTTAACTATATCGTTAAAAAATCTCAAAAAATTGCATTTTGTTGGGAAAAAGCTGAAGTAGAAACCAATGCTTAGTAATTATTTTCTTTCTGAAATGTTACTGCAGAGTTCTGCTATTTATATCTAGGTATTTATTTAACACTTTCCTCAAAAGTTTTATTAGAACTGAAAATACTCCTCATAAAATCTTTGTAGAAAAAAATTTAGTTTTTTGTGTTGTTTATGAAGATAATCTTTTAGAAAAGTAGTCAATGATTGTAGACAGAGGGTTAATGGCTTCTTTCATGCATTCTGAATTTAAGAAAAATTATTCCAATTGCTCTAACATTGTCAATAACTGCAGCTGCTTTTGAAAAAGATTTTGCGTTTCAAAATAGAGTAAAATCTGAAGAGTCAGCTTTGAAGCAATTGTATGATCTTTCCAGATTATTTGGTGAAGGCACCTTTTGCATGTCACTAATAAGGTGTCAATTGTGACATGTGTTATGTTAAGAACACCTTTTACATGCCTATAATAATGTGTCAATTGTGACATGTGTTTTGTGAAGAACACCTTTTACATGCCATTAATAAGATATGAATTATGACAGACAGGTAGTTAAATCATTGAAATAGAAGAAACAATTTTTTTTATTCCATTTATTTTAAATGAATTTTGTTTGTATTAGTAACCTTAATATAATCATTCCATAAATAATGAGAAATGGTTTTTAGTTAATTATTCAAGCCATAATTCCAGTGTATTAGTTTTGCATAATTTATATTTTAGCTATAATATAATCTCTGTTTTAGAATGGCAGTAATTTACAAATGAAATTTCTGTTTATTTCCCTCCATTTTAAAATTCACTCTTCAAATGATGGTAACTTTCTGAAATGTTATCTTTAGATTACACTGGTTACCTGTATACCACTATTATTATAGTTGTTAATTTAAATTTTTTTTTCACTGGTAGTCTTAAGATATCTATCAAAGTTTTTATAAAATTCTAAGCCAAAAAAAATAATAAAAACATTTTATGAAAAAAAAATTGCAAAAAAAATAAGTAAATAAATAAAAATATTTTAAATCTGACTTATACTTAATTTTTTCTTTTTTTTTGATAATAAATTTTCTCTATATATTTTACCTTAATATATTTAAACTCTGTGAACTGATTTTGTGTAAGTGTAAACTTGTTCATAAATGATTTTTTAATCTAATATCTTATTTAATTGTAATTATTTTAGCTTTATTTGCTATTATCTTTTAATTTTTATAATTTTAGTTGTTTAGTTTAATGTAATATAAAACATTTGATTTAATTATTAGAAATTAATTTTGGGTTAAACTTGCATTTAGTTTTTCCTTCTAAATCAGAATAGATTAGACATAATGTCTTTTCAAAAATTGTTTGCAATTTTGTAAATGCAAATGTAGATGAACAACTTCAAAAAGCACTCTAAATATGAAAAAGTATTAATAAGCTTATTAAAGTTTCGGTTCTATAATGAGGGATCTTTGCCAGTGTTCAAACACAGAATGAAAAGGGAAAATACATTAGAATACAAACTAGTTGGGAATGCATTCAAACTAGTTGCAATATGGAGAAAAAAGGCTCTCCAGAGGTTCTACGTATATTCTATTTAATCAATAGAAGAGAGGGAAGAAGTTTAAGCAAAATAATCAAACAAAAATAAGATAAGAAACGGCTTTTTTAAGGGTTGGGGACGAACCCCAAAGGTTACAAGCTGTAGAAATTGAAAAAGAAAATCCAACTCCACACATTAAGGAAGAATAGAATACATCTTGCTTTTTTAACATATCTTCCTATGTGTTTTCCTTTTTCATTCTGTGTTTTGATCCTTTTGAAGATTCTCTATTGTAGAACCGGAACTAGTATAGTTGTTTATGTGGTATTATAAATATGTAATTTTTTTTTCTCACATTGTTTAATATGTTGCACAAACTTAACCCTTTCTTCTCCTAAATTTTAAAAGTAATATTTACCCTTTCTTCTCCTAAATTTTAAAAGTAATATTTATTTTTACTAAGTCCTTTTTCGAAGTGTTTCTTTTTATTATTTTTATTAATGTGTTTTAGTATGATTGTGTTTCGTTAAAACTTTACTTAGAAACTCTCAGGTTTGAAAAAAATAAAACAAAATTTTCTGGGAAAACTATTTTATTATTTAGACTGCGCTATTATAATAATTGAATTAGTTTTAAATCTTTTTATTACAGAAATTATGTTATGAAAAAATATTTTTTCATTGTTTATCTATGGGTATTCTTAATGCATATTTTCATTAAGTGCTCAGTATTATATGAAAGTCTTAAAAATTAACAAAGGAATTCTATTTCTTCATGATGTTAATTTTGTTATAATTTTGAAAAATTTTCTTTTATTAGTTTCCACTCAATGGATCTGCTTTGTTGCCATCAGCAAGTACAGGTTCAGGAGTTACAGTTACAATTACTGTTAATGACAAGACTCAAATCATTGGAAATCCTGTCAAATCAAGGGTCCCTCCTACTGACCCTGTTCCGGGAACATCCAGTGATACAGTTATCCTTAAAAAAATCGAAAAAGTTGATGCCCTAGATAATCCTCCTAAGTCAGATGATAATATCCAGGAACTAAATGTTTATGACACAGTACCAGAAATCCCATTTGACAGGTCATCTCAGTCCACATCAATGTCTTCCAGTCCAGGTAATATAGGCACTCAATATGGTTAAGAAATCTTTATGCTGCAAAATTTAGAAAATCTTTAGTTTAGTTCGTATTTTTGTGAAGAATTTTTATGGGTTTATAAATCTATGTTAGTCTGGGGAAAAAAGAAGTGGGCTTTAGATATTTGTCATTTAATATTTTTTTTAATGCTTGTTACAATAGTATATGGTAAAACTGTAATTTTGCTGCTGGTTAATCACCAGTTGTAGCATTTTTAACTCTGGCCACTTTTTGAAAAATTGGAAATTTTGAATGATTTTTAGCATTAATATTGTATAGCATCTTTTTGTTTTGTTTTGTTGAAGCATTTATTAAAATGCAGTAAACATTGCAAGGCTCGTGTCTAAAATGGTGAAAGATTTTAAGAAGTAAGCTTGAAATAGTAATTTTCAGAATATTATAAAATTTTAATAATAATTCTAAATTATTTAAGAATAATAGTAAAATTTACAGTGATTGGGTAGCAACTGGCAAATTTTTTTTTATTAGCTATTTGTTTAGTGGCCATTGGTGAACATTCATTTTACCCTAATACATAGCAGCCTGTTACCATTTACAACTTGTTATGCTTAGAGAAAAAGAAGGAACAGGGGAGGAAACAGGAAGCAAATCAGTGAATCAATGTTTCATTTTAATCTTCACTTGATGACCATAATTTCTAATATTTATTTTTGTTTTAGGAGAAAATATATATTCAAAAATACAAATGTTGAAATCCCTGTTAGATATGAATGAAAGCATTATTGTGCAAAAATAGGACTTTTTTTTATATGTAATAGTGCAAAGGAACTACTATCGATAGATATTTAATACTTCGTATAATCTCATCATTATTTTATGAAAAGTCACTTACAATGACTGTTGTGCACAAGAAACAATTTATTCAAATTTATTGAATCATTAGAATATAAAAATTTAAATTGTCATTGTAAAGGGTAAGTTTTTACTTGATTTTTTTGGTTTGCAAATAATGCTTATAATTCTTATGTATTTATTTTTATTTATGTGTCTAGAGGTAATTAAATTTTTTTAGTAAACTGAACTTTTGAACTGTTAGATTTAATTTATCAGTTTATGTTTACAATTTAATTATTATTGTTCTAGTTTTAATAAAGATCGGTAATCCTACTCCATCTGAAGAAGGAAGTTCAAGTAACCTCTCTGCTAGTTTGGCTGTTGCTGGGGGTGTTCCATCATCAGATATTCCTTACATGACACCTCCTTTACTCCACAATATCCCTCCACCAGTTGTAAATGAAGAAGCTGATGAAGAAACTCGTGAGTAAAATTACCTGATATTTTTAGTAAATACATGACATATATTGTTTCTTTTGGTCAGGGAGGTTTTTATATTTTCCTTTATTGTCATTGAAATGGTTTTTGCAGAGATCTTTCCTTTAAAATTTTTTGCCGGTTAATAGTTATTTTTAAATTATTGGCACAATAGCCAGAAAAAGACTGTACTGCATCTAATACTTGATCAAATTTAATAGTCTGGTTTAAATTTTTTGGAAGTACCTAATGTCTTTAATATAGTTTATAAGATTTAGGTATGGGTAGATATGTCTTTTATATAGTTTATAAGATTTAGGTATTTAAATTTTTTTATATGTTTAAAGGACAAACTTTGTTGGGTTAGCAAAAATAAGGTATAGTTTCTTTATGAAGTTTTTTTGGATAGGATGTCGATCTATTTTGACTTTATCAAAAAAGTAAGGGTGAAAGGTAATGAAAGCACTTCAAACAAACTTTAAAAGATATCTATTCTATATTCCCCTCTGGAGAGTGAAATCTCTCTTTACAGTTATTGCATTAATAATACAAACTGTAGAAAGATGAGTATAATTTGTAATTTTGCTATTATAATTTGCAATATAGCGAAATTACAAATTATGTATTCATATTTTACTTTTTGTTATTTATTTTATAATTTATTATTTACTATTTATAATTTGTAATTTACTTTTAACAGTTAAGTTTAATGCATAATATTTTATATCTGACATATATTATTCTATACTGCCAGTAACTATAAACTGGCTGCATTTTATTAAATAAAAATATGTTATTCAATCTTATTTAATTAATTTTTCTCAATCAAACTTTGAAAAAATTACTATCATTTTTAAAAGTTATTTTATGCTTGTTTATTATTTTTTTCATTCTTCGATTTGGTAATTAAAACTATTTTCTAATGCAAAAGAGTGAGTTGTTAAATTTCCTTTTTATTTTAGGATTTGAAAGAAATTTATGTTTTAGGATTTGTAGGAAAATTATTACTGATAAAGATAATCTGCATGATCAGTAAATGTATTTGCTATGATTCCAAACTTTTTGTTTTTCATTACTTAAGTATTTCCAAAATTATGAATTTTAGTAGTTAATTAGGACATTTGGATCTATTTTTAGTCCTGAATTTTACTGTAACTGAAACTGAAAATATTCATGCTTATGAGTTACTAAAATGAATGATAACTGAAAATTAGAAATTGTTTGTTGTGTTTCTGATTATAATTTTTCAAATCAATAGCATTTGAAATTATTATAATTGCTAACTCTAAAAATTTTATTTTAGCAAATATATAAATTAAATTCATTTTCATTCATAGCTGTCATATGAAGTTTTGCTTTAATTAAGTTCCTGGAAATCAGCTATATGAATCTCCTCATGAAAAAATCTTTTTTTTATTTATTTCTTTTTAATATTTTTTATTGTAAGTGCTGTTTTCAATAAATTTTTAACAATTATTGTGTACATTTTAGGGGGGCCTTTTTATAGGCTACCTTATTATGTCCAAATCAAATTGTTGTATCCCTTGATTTTTTTAAATGAAAAAATGATTTTTTTCCTTGAAGGTGCCAGAGGGGAAATTCCTTACACTGTCATATCTGTGCGTGAACCGTTAGCTCGAGTGCGAGAAATAACTTTACGCCGACAAAGAGCTACAGCTCAACAGGTAATGAATATAAATGTTTAAAAATTTATTTTGAAATTTTCTTTAAATTATCCAATCTATTCAGCAGTAAAAATACTTTTATTCTCTATTACTCCAGTTATAATATTCGACACTATTTATTTAGGAACTGACATATTGTACTGTATAAACTGATAGTTTGTGTTGAAATATTTAACCTGTGCTCATGCCTTTGTAATGCTAGGTTTTTTTTTTACGTCAGGAAGAATTTATTAAAAATGTGTTCAATTCTAAAAATAGCTTATAATAAAGCATTGTCTGATATACCAACAAATGGCAGCAATATCTTTAATTTTGTGAAAAAATAAACAAGTCTTTAACACTACATGCATATTAGTAGTTTTTGGTAATCATGTATAATAATCTTGATAAATTTATTATTCTTGTGTAAACAGTTGTGCAGGCATTCGTACAATTTTTTTTTAAAATGAGCATTAAACAAGCAAATAAGTTAAATATTTTATTATGTAGAATCCTGTAGATGATGATCATTATGCTATGGTTCCCGAAGAGGAACAGATGTATGCTGAAATTGGCTCTGGCCATGAATCTGCATCTTCCTCTATAACATATGCTCATATTGAACCCCGGGAACTCCCCCCTGTACCTCCTACAGTTGAGAGTCTTAAATCTGTTGCTCATGCTCATAGCCGGCAGGGTAAGAAAACTTTTCTACTATTTTTTGTCTTAACAAGAAGAATTATTATTACTTACTATTGTGATGTTTATTTGTAAAAGTTTGCTAGTTTTTTGTCAAATTAGTATTTTAAGATCATTTATATGTGTTTTAACCTTTTTTTATAATTAAATTTCCATTTAAGTTTTTGTTTTTTTCTTTCTAAGAAGGTAGTCTTTGATTATAATTGATTTAGTATTAAATCACCATATTCAATGAAAAAACTGAGTAACTGAATTTGCAAGGATCCTTCCAAAACTTCTTGTAGTTGCAGTTATCTTTACCTCCTAAACTTAATGATTAGGAAGCTTCAATAAAGTCCTATTCGTAATGTCCTAACTGGGCCTTGATTTTCGTATTTTTCAGAGCTTTCTCTACCTCATCAAGCCAACTAGGGCATCCGAGCTTTCTCTTTCTCTCTAGTTTTCCTTTATAGAGTTTCTTTGCTGCTCTTTTCTCACTCATTCGCTCCAGATGTCCGAGCCATTGTATTCATTTTGTTTTTATTAAATGTACTATATATATATATCTATACACAGTCGGACCTCTATTTAACAAAGTCGCTAAATCCTGATAATAAGTTCATTATATGGAAAATTCGTTAAATGGAAAAATCACCTTTTGAAATACTGAAACATCACAAAACAAGTATAAAATTCATAAACATTAGACATAATTATAATAGCAATTGTAAACTAGTACCTTTATCTTGTAAACTAGTATCTGCTATTTATTTTATAAATTTTAACCTTAAAAGAAATCTGCATGGTAAGCAAGAATAGAGCAAAATATTATCCAGTGTAATACTATCTTACTACATAAATTTTTAACTAAAAAAAAGCTAAATGTATGTATAAAATTATTGCTGCTTTTATTATAAAAGTAATTTTAAAACATATATTACCACATGCGTTCTTAAGTTTAATTGCTACTGATAAAATCCGTTGATTTTGTCTGAGTTTTTCGTTTGAAATGCAAACAAAAAGGGAAAGGGATTTTACTGCTCTAAAAGGTAAGTGGCTTCGAAAATCATTTCAAGGTCATTTCCCCACAAAATGCAGTAACAAGTTTGAAATGTTCTAAAAAATTTTGGGAAATAGGGAAAGTAGATTTCAAAGAAAAGTTAGCTAAATAGAAAATTCACTTCACTGTTTGGAAGTTATTTTACAAAGAAATTTCTAAACTGTTCTTGGTTCCTCGAAAAAAATCGCAAAGTATAGAAATTCGCAAAATTAAAATTCGTTAAACAGAAGTCTGACTGTGTGTATATATATTATAGTATATTATAGTTTATATATTATTGTCATTATATATTATAGTTTATTTAACTCTAAATTATAAATTACTCCTAATTCTCCAAAAATCTCCATCTTTGATTGGTCCATATATTTTCTTGAGAGGTAATCTAGGTTCCTGTTTCATATGTGACAATGGTTCTAATTATTGATCAACTTGTGATTTTTTTTCTTTTAGAGTTTATATGTGGTTTATCTCTTGTTTCAATATCCTGGAAAATTATTAAGAAAGGTTTTATGACATTGTAGAAAAATATTAATATTCAATCTTTCTTAGATCCCTTATTTTCTTATCATACATTTTTTGTAGAATTTTAAACAACATACTATTTTACTGTGATTGAACTTTCTGAATCACCAAAAAAAGGTGACTAAGAACAGGTGAAAGGTTTAAACACACACATATATATATATATACATATACAGTGGAAAGTCGTGTATTCGGAACTGGCTGGACTTCCGGAAGTCCGGATATTAGATTTTTCCGTATAATAGACCCCCAACGTAAACAAAGCTTAAAACGATCTAATAAACGATCTGATTCTAAGAAGCAAAAAATAAATGAACATTATTTTTTAGGCGATAATGTTTTAGTATTAGGATGATATCTAATCAATCAAAAACAAAACATTAGAAAAAAAATAATTATTGCTTAAAATATAGAAAACAAAAAAAAAATTTGACAGTTATAAAAATATTAATTGCTCTCTCCGCCATTTTGAAGTAAAACAATGGAAGCAAGAAAGGAAAATTCCCATCATTCATTAAGGTGGGTAGGTGGAGGAGAAAATAATTCACATTTCCTCCTTATTTGTCATTCAAATTGAGGGCGGGGAAGTGACAAATTCTTATTTTCTCTCCCATCATTGGCCGTCAATCAAGCATAAAGGCGTGGCGTGCTGATTGGGTTCTCTTTATTTTTTCTTGTGTGACTGAAAATGACTCCCCCTCTACATTAACGTTTGCATGTTTTCCACTCCACAGGTTTTTTTTTTTTACAAGAAATTGAGATATAAATTTGTTTTTACTATATTAAAAGTATGTAAAAAAAGAAAGAGTTGAAACAGTATAACAGTAACATTACATTGAAAATTTTCATTTCATCAGAATTCTATAGTTTAAATTTACATTTGTGAAAAAATTTAAATAATTAAAAAATAAATATAAAAAATGATGTTTATAAACATTACTTAGATATTAAAAATAAAATATAAGTTATGGCATTTCTTTTTCTTTAGCTTCCACTGTTTCTACATCCTCAGTTGGAAGCTGTTTATCAGGATTTGGAGGGGAATCTTCTCCGCCAACTTTACGCAATCCATCTGCATCTTTGTACTCTACTGTTGAGAAGAACAACAAACAAAGAAAGACCATTCATTTAGCTGAAGGTGTCAGCGTGGTAGCAAGTGTTGAAAAAAGAAAAAAAGTTGAAGACTTGTATGCTAAAGTGCGCAAAAAGAAAGTTGACCTAAGCATTAGAACCTCAGGTTCTGATGACTATTCTGCGTACCAAGGAATAGCAGATGACGACGATGTCAGTTGCATTACACCACCCCCATCTCCTTGGGCATCAACAACTCCTCCTGCTCCTCCTCCAATCACAGGCAGGTTGCAAGCTGCTTCTTTGAGTGTGCTCTTGCCGGGCAACTCGCAGCACGTGAGACGCCATTCTGCCGATCCGAATCTTCCGGAAATAATCAACGAAAACCGTGTTTTCACTGGGAGCACTCGCGGCTCTGTGATTGTCTCTAACAATGAGTCAGATGAACCCAATTATGAACGAATATACAATGAGAATGAAGATAATTCGGGAGATTCTTGCTATGAGAAGATCAAAGAAGAAACTGAAACACATAATAAATCAAACGTTGGGTATGAAAGCATTCACCACAGAAATGCTGTTCTAACTGAAGGGAACTATCCAGGTTATGAAAGTGTGAAAGATCTTAACGAAGACGAGGACTCTCTGGAGCCGGGTTACGAGCGAGTTGCACGCTCGAATGGAGAAAATGACCCTTGCTACGAGCCTGTGAGAGTGCCCGTTAACTTTGATGACAGTGACTCAAACTCTGACTATACCATTGCAAAATCGGATAACAGTTGTTCTGGTTATGAAAGAGTGAAATATCTCGGGCGGTCTGAAAGTGACGCTGCTGATCCAGGTTACGAGAAAATCAAAAAGATGCCTAGAGCGGACAGTGATGCTACCGATCCAGGTTATGAACGTGTTAGAAACAAAGAAGAGAATCCTAGTGAACCTGGTTATGAAACTGTTCAAAGGTCTGATAGTGATACAGACCCAGCCTATGAAGTCGTCCCTCAAAATAGATTTATAAGTAGTCGGTATTCAAATAATAACTTAACTTCCAGCTCTCCTAATTCTAATAGTACTGTTGTTTTTGTGTCTGGAGATTCTGAAGTATATTTATCAGGTAACTATAACGCTCGAGATCAGTCCTCAAGGCCGGATGATGCCAATGCCACTTTCCTATAGTTAACAAGTATTACTGTACTAAGCTAATATATTTTATTTCACATCTTAACCATTTCTTGCAATTGTTGTTTCTTTCTGTCGTTAGGATTTACGTTATTTTTTGATCAAAGCTTACATTGAAACTTTTTATAGTTTTATTTTTTTGTGTGTAATTTATATTTTGCATCAGGTGCCATTATTTCTTATATTAGATCCAAATCCCTTTTTTTTTTCTTTTTTTTTGAGAACTTAGATTCATTACTTTAAACTGAAAAAAAAATTTTTTTTTTAAATGAAAAACTAGATTTTTTTTTCTCCCTTTTTTTTGGATTGTTAAAAAGATTTTTTTTTTCCTTAGAGGTTTAAATGATCAATAATTACAGGAAATTATTTTTAATGTTACTTGCTTTTAAAAAGTTTCTGAAATTATTAATAATAGATAATAAAATTGTGAATTAAATTATAAGTAACTTAACTAGTTGCTATTTCAAAATGTATTTCGAATTGATAAGTAGAAACACATTGTGCCATTTTTAACTTGATATTTTCAAGTTTATTCCAATCCATTCCATTTTAAAACTAGTGGAGTTAATATTTATGATAAACACTTTACAAATACCTTAGTTTAATTTTTCATTTATTTTTTAATTAGAAAATAGAATAATTCCATTTTAGGTATCGCATACTTTTGTGGACAAACTGACCGTAATGAGCCCCTAAACTTTTATTCTATCTTAACTGATTCTTAATCAATTTATATCTTATTTTTATTAAAAAAAACTTGATCCTACAAAAAAATCATTTTCATCACTTAAGAAATATAGTCTCTCATTTAGAGTGAGAAAAATTATGCTAAACGCAGGCAAATGTACAATTTAGTTTAGTATATATTTTTTTCTGTTTTGGAATTTTAGAAATAATATGTTTTTCTTTAAATAATTTTTTTAGTTTTATCATTCAATTAATTGTGTCAATAATTTTAGTCTTTTAATTTTTGATAAAAATCAAACTGAATATTTTTCTTTTAATTTTTATAGTATTATTATTTATGTTTTTATTTATTTTGTAAGTGAATGAGCTATATAATAAGTTAGTTCTTTTATCAGTAATCTGTCAAAAAAAGAAATCAAGAGAATGATAAACTCAAAGTAACGATCATAGAGTTGAAATAGTAGGTAGAGGAACCAAGTTCGCTTTATTCCTTCCGAAAAGACACGCCACAGATAGCAAGCAAAGAGTTACAATCACGTGATGGAAAGAGTGCAATACTTGGCGCAGTATCACAAATGTTGGCGCACTAAGTTTTTAAACAGCTTTATTTCGATATTACCGATGCGCAAATAATCGGAGCATTTGAAAGAGAGAAAAAAAATATTTTCGTTAATCATATTTCTTTAATATTATTAAATGGGTTTTTAAAACATGAGGAGTTTTTTTTCTCTTAACAAATAATTTTTAATTAAAGTACTGCCTNTTCATCAAACATATAAGAATATACAAATAATTTGGTTTTTAAGCATTCCTATGTAATTTAAAAAACACAACTTCTTATGTACCATATTTTTTATTTAAATATATATATTTAAAGGAAACATTTTAGAACAAGATAAATATTGGGTTTTAGTAATCAAGAGGTAAAGATATACAAAATCTTCAGAATATACAGAAATGATATCGACATTTAAAGAGAACTAAAACAAAACCGAAAGTTTACTCAACTGTTCCTTGGCGCTAAAGTATCTCGCCAAGGAAGCCAACAAAGCTTTGCAGCTATTTCAGCTAAAAATAGAGTATATATTGAAATATACTTAAACATTATAAGTTTAAAGTTTAAGAAACAATAAGAACTTATGTTAAATGCAAAAAAAGTGAGCAAAAACGAGCGTAATTGATTATTAAAGCAAATAAAACATGATTATCAGAGCATGACTAAGTATCGGAAAAATTTTAAAATGAATTTCAAAATAGAAAAAGTGAAAAAAAATGTCGCCCTTTCTTGTAAAAAGTTATCGAACAGTCCCTAGAAAACTTCTCCGTGCAGCAAAATGTTCAGGACTTTTGTACCATTCTTATTTCTGAATTAAAAAGACAGACAGTTANTTTTTCTTTTAATTTTTATAGTATTATTATTTATGTTTTTATTTATTTTGTAAGTAAATGAGCTATATAATAAATAAGTTAGTTCTTTTATCAGTAATCTGTCAAAAAAAGAAATCAAGAGAATGATAAACTCAAAGTAATGATTAGATAAATACTAGTCTTAAATAATAATTATGGATTTGAAGGCAAAATTTGTCATTAATTAAAATAATGAAAAAATGTTGTTTACCTCTAAAAGTCTTTTATTAAAAATATCTTTACCTCTAAAATAACTGCAGGGGGTGAAGGGGAGAGTAATAAAAATGGACGTGTTGAGCCAATATTTTTAACAAAAAATCAATTGTGATCACTGATTGAAAATTCTAGATTACTACATGTTAGAAAATTCTTTTGAAAAAACTAAAAATTGTGTGTTTAATTCTAATTAATGGGAACAATTAATTTAATTAATTGGCACAATTTAAATCTAATTAATTGGCACAAGGTGTTACTTAAAATACTATCATGTATATCAATTTAAAATATTATATAATCAATAATGTTTTTTGTAACTATAACTAAACAATGAATAACTTATTTATGCTGTCGAATTGTTTAAAGGAATATTTTGTTAGAAAAATTGATTACCAATTTTGCTAAATTTTCATACAAATAACTTATAGTAGCTTATTACAATTCTTTCGGTTTATGCAAAATAATCATTATTTTTTGCTACTTCAATGATTATAAATAATATTACACAATCTTTTTATGATTCTAGTCTGTGTTATGTGAATAATTCATTATTTCGTACGATTCAGTATATAGATTTTAGTATCATGAATAATTAAAATCTATCTAAATATATTTCTTTTTTTAGACCATTTTTTCAACACATTACTTTTTTTTAATTTTATTTATTTTGTATCGAACTTTATTTATGCTATTTGCTTTCATGAAACATTTTGTTTTGTTGTTGTTATCATGTATTATGTTCTGTTGTGTTTTAAGTTATAAAACAAAGAAATTTTATTTTTAAATCTTGTTAAGAGCATAAGTATGATCTGTTGTTTGATCATTTATTCAAAATAACTAATGGATATATTCAATATTTTTCCAATTTAAAATTTTTTAATAATTACAAAGAATTGCTAAAAAAGACTTGCTACAGTAAATATATTACTGTATAAAAATGTTTTTTATATATTTGCTCTTGCCAAGAGAACAGTTAAAACTAATTACAGTTGTTTTGCCCATAAGTAAGTTTTTTCTTTTTAAATTTTATTTGTAATTTATTTATCCTTTATTTGTAATTAGAGTTTAAAAAGCTAACATGCTTATTTTTGTTAATTTTTTTTATTTAACTTAGTTAAATTTATAACATCTAAAAATTTTGTCTTGATTAATCATGTTTTTTTTAATATAAAATATTGCTTTTGTGATATGATTCATTTTTGATTTAAATTAAGTAAAACTCTATTTTGTGTTGGATTATATTTTGTTTAACATTCCTTTTATAATTATATTATTAACTATTATATAAATTTTTTTTTATTAAATCATGTATTTTTGTAATATTTAAAAATATGTTTTAAATGTGAAATTTATTTTGCTAAAAATGAACTTTGTGTCAATAAAATTAATTATTTTAATAGAATAAATATTTAGTAATTTTCAAAATACTTTTGGTTATAATCTAACATGCTCTCTTGGGCTTTTGGTACTAGTTTGTTTTAGAAAAAACTACCCATTACTAGTTTCTTTTTTTTCTTTTGAAAGAACTATACATTACTGTTTTTTTTTTTTTTTTTGTGTGGTTTTTTTCTAGAAAAACTATGCATTACTAGTTTTCTTTTTAGAAAAAACTAGTTATGTATCTTCAACCTTTATAGAAAATTGAGAGAAAGAACAATACTATTCAACATATTAGTATCTTTTATTCTTTTTTTAAAAAAAATGCTGAAATACAAGGCTTTTTGCAGATAGTTGAAGAAAATTAGTATTTTACAGTGGCCACTCTGTTAAAAACAAACCTGGAATTCTCAGAAAATTTAAAATACCACTTGAAAATCTGGAATTTTCTGGGAAATTTGTAATCAACTCTTGAAATTCTTGATATTATAATGATCACACACATCTTTATTCTAAGTGAATTTTGATCTATTATTAGGCATTTTTTAAACTGTTTTACATAACCAATAATGTATTATAAAAACTTTCAAGTGGCCCTATAAATTTATTTGTTTTTTCATCATTATTTTAATAGGATGTTCTAATTATTAATTTTATTATTTTCACTTTCTGCTACAAGCATTTCTCTTTAAATATAGTTAATTAAAATTGATTATTAATTATGAAGTTTGTAGTCAATTTACCCACAATTTTTTTTTTTTTAATCTTTTAAGTAAGAAATAACAAATTATATTAAAAAAAGTAGTAATTTTGATTTTTTTTAAAAAAAATATCTGAATTTATGTCCAACTTTATGTATTCAAATATATAATTCTATACATAAATTGTTTTGAAAATGACTAATTTATGTTGTAAATATATCTAAAAAATTTAAATTTTCAATTAGTAGCATGTGGGCGATGAACTCTAATAACTTAGCTGCCACGTTTTCCTCAAATCTAATGAGTCAATGACCAATATTGAAAGGTCCTTTTAATTTAATAGCCCTTTTTTGTCACTTTTTTTAAAAGTTGTATTACATTGTTTCTTTTTTCAAAAATCAAATAATCAACCTCTATAAAAAGTTCATTCAACAATGAAAATAATATAAATATGTGACAAAATTTAGATAAGCAAACAGACTTTAAAGAACGCATTTAAATAATATTTGGGGAAGCAAAATACATTTAATGTATACCTTACAACTTTGAAATATGTGAATATTTAAAGAACTCTCCTTTCAAATGAATTGTTTCATCACAAATTTATCGATTCTGAAGGATCAAAACTTTAAATGGTGACGTTAGGCATTTTAATGAGGATTTTCCAGAGTCTTTCTGCATTGATGTACTTTTATCATTAAACAATTTTCAAAAATGAAAAAAATGATGGAAATAAGTGACTGGTTGCTTATTTAAGTAGCCACTTTTTTTTTTGTCTACACCCCATGTGGCAAGTGGTTATTTTCAGTTCTAGTTTTAAAAGTCTTTAAATTTTGTAAATTTTTATTCTGGAATAATGTAGGAAGTGACTATCTTGCTTTTTATTTTCGACAAATCCCTTTATTTTTTCCTAGTATTAGTATGTTCTTATTACATGCTCAAACATTTTAAAAACAATGCATATTAATTAGTTTAGTGCTTTGTATGTGGATAAGTGGTGTATATATTAGAATATTTTGAAGTGCATTAATATGATTTCATCTAAATCAAAAGTTTTAAATCTAATTGCTCAACAATTGCATATCAGGTCTGAAGAATGGCAAGCAGGCTTGGAGCTTATAGTAAATGTTAAAATCTATGTTATAGATGTACATAACATATATAGGATGTTTTTATTATTTTAATTAATTTCATCCATTTTAAATCTGATGCAAGCTTATCTGAAAATTACTAATATATTTTGAAGGTGTATGTGTATATAGTGTAATGTGCATTTAAAGTATTTTCTGAAGTAAAATTTTCTTGTAGTTTGTTATAATCTGCATTTTGATAGCTCAACTATCACTATAGTACAATTTTAAAATTTTTATCAAACTGCTAAGTTGTGTTTCTTATCTCTTGGTTATCTCTAAACGAATAAAATATGTTTTAAATATGTCACTAATGCACATTGCACATAATGGACAATTGTTATTGCTATCAAGCATAAGTAATTGCCTTAAAATATATTCAAAAAAATATTTCATACTTATGCCAAAATTTCTGCTTATCTAATTAGGTTAATGAAAAATTTGAATAAAGGTTGAATTT